ATTTCAGTTGGAAAATTCAAATTCAATTTTTGCACCTCCTCACGATTTCTGTACAAATAGATTCGAAATTCTGTACAGATTTGAAACTGTTCAAATACAATTTTTATCTGTCTGAATTTAAATTTTGAACCCAAACAATCCAAATTCAAATCCAACAGGTTCAGTACCTGTTCAATTCAAAATAAAATGGTGCCACTATATCTATAAATAAGACAAGTCCCTCATTTGATTTTCACACTAATTTTTGTCTAATTTTCTGTTTTTGCTCTCTGCATATTTTGCTGCATTAACTACATTAAATTTCTGTGAGAAAAAGTATATACACTTAGTGTGTTCGTTGTACGAATAAATTGTAGTGCTGCATTTATTCGTTGTTGATCATTTTATCTTGAGAGAGAGACGTCCACATATCTGAAAATATCGTAGAGATGACGAATCTGTCTTAAGGACACATTATTAAACACTGGACTTGATCAAAAGTTTGTTCAAGAAATTAATCAAGTAAGTTGTTAATTTATTTTCTGTTTTATTATTATTTATTTAAATCAGATTTGATTTTGTTTTTGTAACAAAACAAAAATCTTTTTTTATTTTTTTATTTTTTAGTTTGATTTTTGTAATTAAAATATCTTTTTCCTTTCCTATTTTTCTTTTGTATTCTGTTTATTGTTTAGTACACAAACATAATTTATTTATTTAAATACAGTGAAGATTGTCTAACATCTTTCTCTTTCTAATCTACAATCACCGGCGACCACCATTGATTAGGGTTCATATGCAAACACCGAATACTGAGTTCTTACTTCGTGCTTACCGATGGCGACGAAGATGAGTAGATCTATTCAAATCTAATGTATTTACATCAAATTTGAATAAATTTACGTCAGCTTTTGCTATATCTAAATTAAAAATAATTGTCAAAGTACAAGTCTCTCTTTATATCTGTCTATTTCCTTCAATATCTCTTTTTTTTTTGCTTTTTCTGTACTACACATTTCTATTTTTCTATTTTAAGGGAGAAAATTGTCAAGTTATGAACAAATTGTTTTTTACTTTTAGTTACAGGCGGTGAAAATTGTAAAATTTTACAGTTTCAATTTTTTTGGTTCTAAAATGAATAATTCTTTAGAACTGTAAAATTTTACAGTTTCATAACTTTGTTTAGAACTATAAAAATTTATAATTTCATAACATATTTTTTAGTTTGATTAATAAGAATAAATACTTAATAGAATCATATTTTGAAATTATGACATTATACAGTCTCAAAGTTTTCTTTTCAGTTTGATCAAAATTGAAGATTATTTATTTAAACCCTACAAAAAGTAAAAATAATATATATATATATATATATATATTTTCCCATTGTTGCTGTTTATTATTATTATTATGTTTTTTTCTTCTTATTTCAATTTATCAATATTTAGTACATTTTGTTATTTTTTTGCTCTAATTTCTCAATTTATTTTTTCCCTAACAATATTTTAGACATTCCAATAAGTCTTCGATGATATTTTTGATATCCAACGAACATTCTAGACATTCCAGTGACGTCTGGTGATGTTCAGAACACTCTGGCGATACTCCCGTGAATTTTTGGTGATACTCTAGCAACTTTCCAGTGACGTTGAATATTTCGATAAGTTTTCAGTGACCGTCTGACGGAAGTTCGACGATGATGGGATGTAGCAGCATTTTTAAATTTTAAAAGAAAAAAGATTTTTTGGTAATAGTTATAAATATATAAAACTAATTGCTGTAAGTGTTTTGTTTTGGAATTAGATGAATTTTGAACTTTGTGATTGGAATCTATCTGTAAGTTCTTTTTTTTTTTTTAGATGGTAGTAAATATTTATGTACATAGGGAGAAAAAAAAAGATAGTGGTGTCCATATAAGTCGGGAAATATGAAACAATTAACAGTAAAAATTTACTATCAATCAAAGTAAATTTTTACTATCACTATCAAAATAAAATTTTACTGACACCACAAGTCCAAAAGTCAATTTGTGTTGATAAAATTTTACTGTGGTTTAGTGTAACATTGTACTATATTTTAGAGTTAATTTTTACTATTTAGTTTGCCAAAGATTGACAACTCATATAGTGTGTCACCAACACAACTTGAAACATGAATCTAAAAGTAAAATTTTACTCTGCATAAAAGTAAAATTTTACTTTGACATAAGAGTAAAATGTTACAAAAATAATCTAAAAGTAAAATTTTACTCTGCATAAGAGTAAAGTTTTACTCTGAAATAAGAATAAAATTGTACATTCTGAATCTAAGAGTAAAATGTTACACCTTGAATTTAAAAGTAAAATTTTACTCTGTATAAAAGTAAAATTTTACTCTGAATAAGAGTAAAATGTTACACTCTGAAACTAAATGTAAAATTTTACTCTGTATAAAAGTAAAATTTTACTTTGAAAAACTAGTAAAATGTTAGATTCTGCACAAAAATAAAACTTTACTCTGTATAAAAGTAAAATTTTACTCTGAAAAATGAGTAAAATGTTAGACTATGAATCTAAAAGTAAAATGTTACTCTGTACAAAAGTAAAAAAGCGGAGACAGTGTTTGTAGCGACTGAAGTGTTTGGCAATGACTACCTCTTGACAGTAAAATTTTACTGTCATTCTAACACCAGAGTAAAATTTTACTCTAATTCTCTCAAACAAAAAACAGAGCAATAGAACTAGAGTAAAATTTTACTCTCATTATCCGAAACAAAAAACAGAGCAATAGAGCCAGAGTAAAATTTTACTCTGATTCTGTCAAATGAAATCAGATAAAAAACAACAAAAATAAATCAAAAAAAAAAAAAAAAACAAAAAAAAAAAAAATTAATTAACAAATCAACATGTCTAATTGAGAAGAAAAACTTCTAAAACTCGATCAACAATCACAAATCTCAATGAAACTTTCGTTTAATTGAGAGTGTTGATTGTCGACGACGAAATCGTCTATTGTTGACTTAGCGAGAGATCTTTGGTTGCGAGATCTTTAGATTTAGAGATCGTCTTCATCGATTTCGTTCTTGCGAGATCTTCAGCTCAGATTTCAAATATTTCAAATGTATGATACGTATATATAGAAGGGCAATATTGTGATAAAAAAAAATAGAAATTATAAAATGTCCTTACTAAGGTAGGCATTTCTTATTCAGGGGTTTTTTGAAAGAAAATTGGTTGGGTTATCCTTTACCCCAATAAAAAGGCCCAAAAGGGGGGTTTTTACCAAAAATCCCATCTATCTATACTATATATATAAGCAAATGTAGTGATCTCTTAAAAAATTCAAAATTCTCAATCCTAATATCTTATGAACCTCTTTCCTACGTGGCACATCCATTATTCTCTCATTCTATTTTCCTATTTTTTCTTATCTTTTTTTATATTTTTTATTTCACTTTTTAATTACTTATGGCATGGATATAAAAGATTTTCAAAATATTTAAAAATAAAAGATGAGTTTGACTCTAATTTAACTTTCTTCATCACTTTATGTCTTACCCAAGGATATTTGAAATAAATAAATAAATAAATTTATAAATCTCAAAACCTAACTTCTATGACAATACGAAATTAGGCAAAAAGATTGGAGAACAAAAATAACGTTCTAAAGAAATTAAACGGGTGATTTAACCAATTATGCAAGATTTTTAGCATCTTATGTGAAAAGAAGCACATGTTTTAAATCTCATATTGTGTTTTTTGCTCTCTTTTACTTTTGCAATTTATCTAAGTTTCTCTTTCTATATTCATATAATTTATCTTCAAATTTGCATTTGGTTTTTTTTTAATTTTTATCTTATATTTACAGGATCGATTCTTGCTTTTGATTTTCAATTAAGTTTATTCTATTTTTATTTGATTTTCACGTTCTATATTCTTATAATTTTTTATTCTTTCTTATTTCAATCAAGTAGCTTTAGAAGACAAAATTTGATTAAATTATAGGTAGTAGACATAAAATAGAGTTAAAATTTGTATAATAAGATAACATAATTGTTTATTTTTTAACTACACAAAATTTAAATTTAAAAAAATTATAAGTGACACTTAAATCTTATCTGATTTTTAACATACTACCTCGATTTTATTTTAGTTTTTCTTTTACAAATTTTAGAAAATTATAAGTGGCATTTCACTCTTATCTAATTTTTTAATTATTACCCTCTCCATTTCTTCTGTTATTAGAGTTATATTAGATTTTATTTTTCTTTTCAAGTTTGTCTTATCTTATTTTTTAATTTTAAATTTTAAATTTCAACTTTGTTTTTTTTTTTTTCAATTACTGAATTTCTCTCTACCTCATTTTTCTAGGATTTGTCTAATTTTCTTATATATATATATATTTATAGTTTATCTTCAAATTTAAACTTAATTTGTTTTTATCTATATCTTATATTTACAGAATCCACTCTTACTCTTAATTTTCAATTGAACATTTTTTTCTTCTAAAATTTATTTAATTAAATATAGTAAGATCACTAAATATATTATTTCAATACCCATCTAAATAAATATCATAGTATTTAATTGTTAATTTTTAGTTCAACATTATTTACCATTTTTTGTTACTTGCCCGTGCATAGCACGGGTTACCGCTAGTTATTAATTAAACAAATGTAATTTATATAATCTCATTTTAAATTTTTATTTTTAATTCCACAATCAAACATCATTGCTAAATATGTGTTACTTCATAAGCATACTATTTACTATTATCATAATATTTACTATTTATAAATAAAAAGCTATTATTATTATTATTTTTTCATTGATTTAATAAAAATAAAAATCAAACATATTTGTATCACAATCGACGGTGACTGTGGCATCGAACCACTTTTTAATTCGGTGGGGTCAACCAGCCCGACGGAATATCATAACCCAGCCAGATGCCTACATATTCGAATTTCTTTAAAAAATAAAATATAATATTATATATAAAATTCTTAATTTTAACCCGGAATTTACCACCAAACTAACAAGGGCACTTCATCCCCGTCCCCAGCCTCATTCATACAATACTAATACTATATTACAAACCAACAACCAATCAGTCTCTATTAGGTTTTTCCTTGTTTTTACCAGACCACTTCCTTCGTACGTACCGTCTCTCTCTCACACCATTCTCTCTCTACAATTTTTTGATTATCAATTTTCATATTGGGGACCTTGACACGCCCAAACCCCTTTTTCTCATACAAAAAAATCTGGTCAGTCACAACATCCCATATATATCACACACTTACTAGGGCATATATAGTGAGAGAAATTAAAAAAATTAGAGACACCCACATCCCACAATTTCACCTCCATACCAACAACAATGGGAAAAAGTTGATCTTCAGGTACATTATATACCCATCTCCTTAGGCTCATCTGTATTTTTTTTCTCTCCTTAGTATGCCATTGCATATATATATATATATAAATATATATTTTATGTAACATTGATTGTATAGTCATATTCTGTGTGTGACCTAGCTCCACCTTCTCCAAAATTGTCATACCCAAAAAAGATAAACACACAATTAACCCGAAAACATGGATAATACCCTTCACTCATTCAATTGTTTTAATTAATTCACTCGTTTCTTAGGATATTGATGATTGTGATTTTTTTTGGTTACATGGGTCAGTGTTTGGTAACTTTTTTGATCCGGACCCACCTCTTTGTTCTTGGGTCATCAACAGCCTGAATTTAGGTCTAGCCCTGTTTTACACGTTGATGATCTGTCCATTAATTGTTGATTCGTGTTGGCTTTTCTGAATTCCCCCTGAATTAAGATAATGTAGGGTTTTAATGAATTTTTTTTTTTAAATTTTTATTTATAATTTGATCATGTGGGTTAGGGTTCCTATTATTAATCATTGCAATTTAAAGATCCTTAAATGGGTAACTGAGATTTTGGACGGATGAGATTGTTGCATTTATTTTTTCCCAGATTCTAGAAAAGTTGCAATTTTGCATGTAATGGAATGCCAAGACGTTTTGATCCATGATTTTTCAATTGACACACCCCACATGCTTGTGTGTGTGTATATATATCTATTTGTTTCTCTTTCTATTTATATTTCTTGCTTTTCTTTTTTACCTAAGCATGTGTCAGGATTTATTTATTTTCAGGGATGTCGAGTTAATTATAAGATGTGTTTCTTTGCTGTTGTTTTATAGGGCTAGCTGATCATTTTACAGTAGCTTGGTTGGTTAACTTGATGTTTTATGTGATGAATTGGTCGATGTTAAATTTACTGCAGTCTTTATGGAAGGAATTTGGCAGCTTTAGGTAAATTCAGATACATATTCTTTTTCTTTTTACTTGTTTAGGGGAAAAGTTTCTGCCTTGAAAGTTTAGATTATATGAGCAAGCTTCTAGTTTTGTATTTCTTATTTTCCGAAGCAATGAATTTTTTTTAGTAGCATTCTTTCCTTTTTTTTTTGGTTTGGTGGTTTTTTTTATTAATATAAATTTATGGGGACTTACGTGTAGGTCTTAATAGGTGGACATATTATCGAATAGGTCTTGTAAGAATTAATGACGTTTTTTATCAAACACTATTAAAAAAATGTCATTAATTGCTAATTTTCAACGACAGTTTGAAAATTGTCATAAAAAATGTCACTAATTATAAGTTTTAGAGACAGTTTAAAAAAATTATTACAAAAAAAGTCACTAAGTTCTAACTTTTAGTGACAGTTTGAAAAATTCGTTACAAAAAATGTCACTAATTGTAAATTTTAGCGACAATTTATAAAAATCGTGATAAAAAAAATCACTCACTGTCAATATTTAGCGACATGCAAAAAATCGTTACAAAAAATTATTTTTAGCGACAATTTGATTTGGACTTATTTTCGATAGGACTTGATGAGAATTAAATCCAACTATAAGAACCTATTGGTAGTTTACACTAAATTTATTTATTTATGAAGACGAGCATTTTTTTTCTTTTTTTAATATAAATTTATAATTTTTTTAATCAATGGCATGTGATCATAAATTAAATCTAGTCTCCCATGAAGATATGGAGCTGGTAATTAATGTATGTATTTTTCCTCAGCACAACTGTTTAATGATGCCAGTGTCACAAGGTGCAGTTATAACTCCACCAAATATATCTTCAATCCTTTCATTTTGGTGGAAGGAGTGATTGATAAGGCAGAATCAACATAAGGGAAAAGAAGAAAAAAATTTAACCGGCATTTTAACTGATCATTTGACTTCATGGATTCACTTTGTGGTCTTAATTTATGCCGTGTGTCTCCCGTTTTGTGCAACCATATACTTGCGAAATATTTTTTAATCTCCTCTTTTACCACAGTTCTTGTTATTTTAGACCTACAACACTGGTTACTGTTGGCATTTAAATCGGTTCTTCTGTCTATTGATTTTCGCCTGTTTTTAGAAATTTTGATATTTGGTTGAACCTTATTTGGTGGGACCATGGGTTCAGTCCATTCTTGTTGAACTAAATGTACTACAAACTTCTGTGCAGATCTGTATGCAAATGTACTTATAGCTGTCGTAACTTTTGAAATTTGTAAGCCTCTGGACAAATTGGGTTTGGGAATCACTTGGTATTGACTTTTTAGGATATTGTTAAGTGCCTGGAAAATCTTGTGACAATGGCAGGGGATAATCACAAAAGTCTGCATTTATACATATGTATAAATGATTTGTTAGAATAAAGAAGACTTTTTTCTTGCATATGCAATCATTTCAGATGGCGTAAAGGAGCATAGGTTGTTGAAAGGATTTGTTCAGATTGAACAGGGAATTTCATTTACATAATATTAATTTTTGTATTTATTTATTTATTTTTTTGTGTGTTTTTGTTTTTACATAATATTATTTTTTGTTTCTTATTTGGTTTGGTTTGATGGTGGTTGCATTATACATAACATGATAACATATTACGATGCATTCTTAATAAAAAGGCATGAATGTTTTGTGGTGCAGATCATGGATTTTCAGCATGATAGTTAGAAACCTTTTTTACTTTGGTTTCGACAGTAACTGAGATCTGGTTTGAGTACTTACACTTCTGGAGTGTTTGTTCTTCAACATTGTTAGTTGCAACTTTGGAGACTTATTCATCCTCCTTCTACAAAGTTAATTTAATATGCCTGGCATTCAAAAAATAAATTTCATAATGGAAAGTGATTGCCTAATCCTGGTGTTTTGATTTTGTGTTTTTATTCATAGTAGTTGAACCTGGAAGTTTATGAAGATACTGTGGTGCCAATTTGTGCTTCCTGGTTGTTGATTAATTTATGATTAAAATCCTGAAATTGGGTGGACTTGGAATTGATTAGTCGCGGACATGGACTCATGGGCTGTTCTAATTTAATAAATATTCAAGTTCATTTCTGGGTTTGTCTTAGATTTTGTTGACAAAACATTAGCATGACTAATAGGAAGTGGAAAACATTTTTGGTGCTCATGAAAGTGACATCAAAGGGTGCTGAAGTTAATAAGGGTGGGGAGATTATCCTCTTTCCAACAATTTCTAAAAGCCCAAAATGTCTATTATTATCTTTCATTTCATTGTTTCTCATTGGAAGGAGCTCTACTGCCACAGCAGGTTTGATTTGGTAATTGCATGCACATTATGTCTCTGATAATTTCTTTCTGATTGTTTAAATATTTACAAAGGCCAGATCCAAATGTGAACATGTTTTGTAGATTTTTAAACTTTAAAGTTTGGTTCCAATGATTTGACAATTTTTTGGTCCAGGAATGTATTTTCATTAGTTTGTAAAGATAGCACCACTTTGAAACTTGTACGAATACACAGATGATAAATACAGTTTACATACCAGATGATGATTGATTAGGTTCTTTTCACATAGTACAAATTACATATTTTCTGCTCCTATGTTGAGTTTTATCCTTTATTATTGCATAATGGTTAAGTCTGACTTTTCCATGTGGTTAAGCTTTCCTTGAACAGCGGAGGTGAGTGATAATACAAACAGTATATGGCATTACAGATTTTAGCGCACGACTATGGAAGTGCTTCCTTGTTCTGGCATATATTATGTTGGGGAATCTGATTGTCCTCAACAGGATTCAGGAACAACTTTCATGTATGACGGAGAATCAAACTGCCTTGAACATGGAGAACAGGTTCAAGTGGCTGATGTTAAAGTGAATGACTTAGTGCTAAATGTTGAAGGGCCTCAGGAAGAGAGACAAGGGGAAGCTCAATGGACTGTTGATGAATTGCCAAGTTCTGAAGGCCATTATAATGGAGCTTCATATTTTGAATTTGAGGCTGAGGGCCACAAATTTTCTTGTGATTCTCATGATTCTGAGGATGAGAACTTGAATGGACAGGATTTTTGCACAGAACCTTGCCTGGCCTCTGAGACCTGTGATTTAATAGTGGATACCATTGATAGTGGAGTTCCAAGTATCAAGGAGGGAGAATCTTCTCTTTCAGAACCCAAGTGGTTGGAAAATGATGAACCTTTGGCTGTTTGGGTCAAGGTATGTGTTAACATTGTTGCTTTTTTGACTACTAGCTTGTCTCTTTTACAGTATCAATAACTCTAATTAATGTAGTGCACATATACAAGTTTGATAGTTCTGGGTTGCTGTTGCTTCTATGTACTTTCCTTGTGGATTTGAGGTTTGATTACAAATATTTAATGACGGCGGGTGAGGTAGAGATGAAGAGGTGGAAACTTCACATGGTTTTTGTTAAAAAATACTGTATTATTGATTGATATTGATGTGCTCTCTATATTACAATTACAAGGATTCCTATTATATAGGAGTGTGTTTGGGAGTAGGTGGAGAGTAGGTGAAGTGGAGGTGGTAGTGGTGTAGTGGGTTAGGTTTAGTGGAGTAGGTGAGGTGGTAGTGGTGGTAGGTTTATGGTAAATTCTAACAGCCCCCCGCAAACTCAAGGAGGATAGAAACTAACCAACTTGAGTTTGAAGAGAGGAACAAAACAAGAAAATACATAAAAATAAAAGAGCTATAGAGACACTGATGTCGTGTCAACATTAGTGAAGACACTTATCGTGATCATGACTTGTAGAGACATGTATGTGTTCATAACTGAGAGGACACTTATGTGTTCATAGTTAGAGACACTGTAGTGGGGTTCATAACGTTGGAGGACACTGTAATCGGTGGATGTCAAAGGTGTAAGGACACGGAATGGCGGTCAGACGATGAGAAGAACAGTTTATGGGTCATGTCTGACCGTTGTAGAAGACAGTTATGAGGGTCATGTCGGAACCGTTGCAGAAGACAGTTTATTGGGGTCATGTCGACGTTGTAGCAGACAAGTGTTGTGACAGTTGTTTGACAGTATACGGAGTCTTGCTGGACCTTGTAGAAACTAACCGGAATCAATGTCGGGACAGTTTACAGAGTCTTGTCGGACCCTTGTAGAAACTAACCGGAATCTATGTCGGGACATTCTAACAGAGTCTTGTCGACCCGTAGAAACTAACCGAATCTATGCGGGACAGTTTACAGAGTCTGTCGGACCCATAAAGGAGCTAACGGAATCAATGTCGAGACAGTTTTACAGAGTCTGTCGGACCCCTAAAAACGCACCCTCAAAGGTGTGCCCAATCTTTAAAAGGCGTGCCATCAAAAGGCGTCCCAATCCATAAAAAGGCGTGCCAGATATGATGCGAGGCACGTGAGTCCTTGGCTGGCGCGCCCGTTTGTCGTCATGTGCTGCCGATTACGCGTGGCTGCCGGCTATTTAACCAAGGTTGATGCTGAGCTGAGGCAGACAAAAAAATTCTGAAAATCCGCTAAAAAACTCTTCCTTTGCTGAGAGAGAAACTCTGTAATACTCTGTAACCAAACCCGTCTCTGAAACACTCAGCAACATGGCCTCTTCTTCCCGTCCAGCTACCCAGAACATGGCCTCCTCTTCCCGTGGTCTGCTACGCTCTTTCCAGAACTGAACGAGTCCACAAGAGAAATAACTGGTGCGTGGCCAGTGAACCTCAACCAAACACCTCTGGTTTTGCTCCGTTGAACTTTCCGATGCGGTCGGTGGAGCAAAAAATGGCAGTGCAAACTGATATTGAGGCCAATCAGTATACTCTGAAGTCATGTGTGGAAACCATGACGCGGTCACAAAACTTGTCGCACCGGCTGCAGAGCAGGACAAATGAGGTGCAACAGTTAAACTCCCAGCTGGCTCTGCTCCAACGCATGTATAAGGATGCGCGAGCAGAGATAAGTGTGCTGAAGAGGAAATAAGGAGCTTGAAGCGGAAGGCCACCGTGATGTTCCGATTTGGAGGGCCACCATATGCTGTAGTGGAGGAGCAGGGAGGAGGCAACTTGCTTGTGGTCTAGGAAGCACGGAGGTAATACGTCAAGGGCCGTCCAAGACGGAGGCAAGAAGAAAAGACCGGCGGAATAGGCGAAGAAGTGAGGTCGATTGGTGGCCGGCTGCAGAAAAGAAAACAAAGCTGTGTGTTTTGGTTTGTTTTGTTTTGTTTTGTTTTTTTTTTTTTTTTTTTTTTTGATGTAAAATGGTGATCGGGTGAACCCGACATGAATAAAATAAGTTTGGTGTGCAGTTCTTCCGCTTCTTCAATTCGTCTTTTTTTTTTTTTTTTTTTTTTTTTTTTTTGAATAAAAAAATATATATAGATATATATATTCTATAGACTCTAGTGGAAGGAATGATGGGTTTGGGCAACAGCACATTGTGGGGGGTCTGACAAAAGAAAGAGGTTTGGTTGTAAAGTAAGGGAAACGTGGGTGGAAAAGGGAAAAGGCTGCAGAAGAAAAATAAAAAAAAAAGAGAGGTATGGGTGAAAATATAATAAACAAAGACAGAGAGAGAGAGTAAAAGAAAAGAAAGGTAAGATCTGTCAATACACCATATCTGTACAGCGAATGCTATCCCTGATGCCACTATTCCCGCATAGGCAACACTGAACAACTCTCCAGCAGAGTGAACAAGCCAAGCTTGTGGGTCTTCGGATCAAGAGAGAGCGAGACACCATGGCAAAGACGAAGCTGTACAAAGCCGAAGAGTCTTCGGAAGAAGTTAAACCAGAGACAACAATTGAAGAAGATGAAGAAGAAGAAGAGAACATTCATGTGAAGAAGATTGAAACTTTCAGTGAACATCCCGACAAGATCGCCCCTCTCGTCGGTTACTTTCCTTTTGGATTCGATCCTCTTAAAGAAGAATCATCGACACAGGAGCAACCCAAGGTTAGGGTTTTCAGGCACGAGAATCGGACCAAGAGGTTGCAACTCGTCGTCAGCCCGAATGGGTCGCAAGTTAATTTCGTCGGTACGAACACGGCTCCTCAGCTTTGTAATTATGCTCTTGGGGTTCTTGATAAGGAGTCTCAGACACTGAAGATTGTCCCTATTGCCTCCAACAAGATATTTAGATTGGAACCAATAGTTGCAGGGTCAGATTCATATGAAAAGGAACCTTCTAAGGAAGAACTCAGGGCAGAAGAGAGGGCAGATAAAATTAGAGAGCTGAAACGCATGTATTCAACAGCGAAGTCAGTAAAGCAGGACAAGAAAAGGCAACCCAGTGTCCAATTCTTTCCCCTAGCGTCTCCAAGCACAAGCATCACCGGCAAAGCCCTTTGCAGTGGCGGACTTGGACTGTAGATGGTCGGACCCTGGGTTTTATTGAAGGTGGTGGGCTCGAAGAAATTTCAAGATATGTGTAGAAAATTGTAGTGGACTAGATTGAGGTCCGGCGGGCGGCTAAGGTGAGATTGCCCGACGGGCGGCCAAGGCGAGGTTGCCGCCCGCCGGTGACGCGAAAAAAAATACTAAACTCTTAACCTTGCTCTGATACCATGTAAAAAATATATGTATTATTGATTGATATATTGTTATTGTGTGTTTATTACAATTACAAGGATTCCTATTATATAGGAGTGTGTTTGGGAGTAGGTGGAGAGTAGGTGAAGTGGAGGTGGTAGTGGTGTAGTGGGTTAGGTTTAGTGGAGTAGGTGAGGTGGTAGTGGTGGTAGGTTTATGGTAAATTCTAACAGTTTTGATATCCGCTGAATTAGATGGTCTGAAAGGTGGTCTAATTCCAGAAAATCAGATCAACTCTCATGTCTGTATTACTATGTTCTTTTGTATCGGTGCTTTTATTTTTCTGTTGTTACTGCCTGTAAACAATATCACTTTAAGCTTTTGCATAAAATTTTTGATCGCAGTAACTTATGAATACAAGTGCTGATTTTATTTCTGTGTTCTTCTCTTCCTGTTTTTCCAAGTATAGTGGAGAGGGAAGTGGCAAGCAGGAATCAGATGTGCCAGGGTAGACTGGCCATTGTCAACAGTGAAAGCAAAACCAACTCATGACAGGAAAAAGTATCTTGTGATATTTTTTCCACGCACAAGAAATTACTCTTGGGCAGATGTGCTACTTGTCCGTCCAATTAATGAATTTCCGGAGCCCATTGCATATAAGACCCACAAAGTTGGAGTGAAACTGGTGAAAGATTTGACTCTTGCCCACCGGTTTATCATGCAAAAGCTGGCTGTTGGCATGCTAAATATTATTGACCAGTTACATACCAAGGTGTTTGATTGGTGATTCTTTTTTATTTATTTTTCCTATTCCTAATCTTGAATCCGTTTTTAATCGAGATCCTCCAAACATATTTAGGCTCTGGTAGAGACTGCTCGCAGTGTGATGGTTTGGGAGGAATTCGCAATGGAGGCTTCCCAGTGCAAGTGTTATTCTGATCTTGGAAGGATGCTTCTGAAACTTCAGAGTGTAACTCCCTCTCTATTGCTAAATGATAGAAAAGTAAAAATGTGAACATGTGTTCTTTTCTGTTTTCTTCACTTACTTTTATTTTTTCCAATTGATAAGATTGATATGTTCGCCATCTTTGTTTGATTTTCATTACTCGAATATTGCTAGCATCAAATGTGTTTCCTTATTTAGTATGTAGTTTAAATCCCATTTTATTGGGAGAATTTATACTTCTTTAGTTTCTATCTACCTTTATATGCCTTATAGATACTTTCAGAAAAACTTGCCAGCAGTATCTGGTATTGAAATACTAAAGCAAATGTGTGCATTGGGGTGAATCCTCATAATGAAGTTTCTTGACAATGGACGGTGATGGAGTACTGAGGTCGAAGGGGAATGCGCGTGCAACGGATAGAGGGAAAATTATAATCGTCTATGCTGCATAACTATGGCTTGATCACCTTAGTTGCAGGAATTGTTTACTGAGGATGATGTTTCTGCTCTAGAACCGTGATTCTGCTGTTTAGAGCATGAATCAAGTTAGAATAGCATTCCCGCCGAGATAGAATTGCAGTTCCAACTGGGAAGCATAAATCAAGTTAGAATAGCATTCCCGTCGAGATAGAATTGCAGTTCCAACTGGGATTGGACCGCTCTCAAACATATGAATCCCAAAAAAACAAAAGAAATACTACCAATACAAAAGAAAATATGTAGAGAACAAATATTTATTTGTAGAGAATAGACTTTTATCCAAGATTTTGGTTTTCCTCTTAGAAATTAAAGGATGAGGTTTTTTTGATAGATCTTTCAATTTGGGGTATGAGGACCGAGGAGGAAAAATGTGTTATTAGTGTTCAATTGTTACTCTTGTAATGAGAACTTGTTATGCTGATATTACTGTAGACATTTAGTAATTAGTGTTTATATTATAATTAAGAAAAAACCATTTCTTATAGTATATTTATCTATATAATACATAATTGCTCTCCTAGGCATTTCCAACCTTATACGCTTTTGCATGCCCCCATTCTGCTGCCTCTGTTCAGCCCCACTTCGTGTGCAACTAAGTTTCTGACATAATGTGAGAAGTGAAATTTTCAAATCCATGAAATTAGGTCTGGAATTTTTCTAAATTTCAATAAATTGAAAAAAGCTTTTTAAAATTTCAATAAAAATTATGTATTTTATCATATGAGTCATAAGAAAGTAGGACTATGTAAAGGCTGACAGGAGATTAAGGATGCATTTAGCTAACACGTAAGTAGTTGAGATGAAGGCCTTGTGGGGATTTTTTTTTTAAACACGTTTAAAGTTTAGTTCCCATCTAAGAAGCATGGACACGGACACGTGACACGACACGGACAAGCCGACACGATAATTTTCAAAAAATGTAGGACACGACACGCGGGGGACACGCATGAAATATATAATTTTATATATTTATTATATGTTATATATATGAATATATCATTCAAAAACAATAAAAAAATGTAATATGACATTAATCCTTATAAATTTATATGATTTTTGTTTTATTATTGTATCTTAAGTTGTTTTGTTCAAACTTATAATTTGTTTCACGTGTCTAATTGATAAACATGTGTGTTTAAGAGATTTACACGTGTGTCCTCCAAGTGTCCAAAGAGTGTCCGGGTCTTTAAAAGATAGGACACGTTATAAAGAGTGTCGGACACGTGTCGGGAAAGTGTCCAAAGAGTGTCGGTGTCTGACATGGACACGACACGGATATGTTACTTTTTTAGAAGTGTCCGTGCTTCTTAGGTTCCCATTAATGGGGTCTAAGAGGGGTGGATTGCTTAAGACCTAAATTTTGACAATTATGAACCAAATGGCTGTCCTGAGATTCGAAACCACAACCTCAAGGTTATTACTATTAGGCCGAATTTTAACCACTTAACCAGTGGTCCCTTTACATGATTGTTATAGAAATAATTATTTTCTAATACTAATTGTCTTACATTAAATATACTAATTGTGTCTTACTTTAAATATGACTTGCATAAAATATTATGGCTTACAAAGGTTGACTGGAGAATAATAATAATTTTTAGCAGACTCAGTTCCAATCAGATTTTTCCATAGTTTTAATGGATGCTGTATTCCTTTATCGCCTGTTTTCTCATCATAGGAACCAATTTCCTTGCTTCTTTTTATTAAATGGTTAAGATGAAGGCATTTGTTGAGTTTTAATGATTTCTTTTTCATTTTGTTTCATTAATTTGTTGAGATTAACTCAGATACTTATTCTTTTTTTTATTTTTTATTTCATTTGTTAAATTAATTGTCACACATTTTACTTGTTTGTTGCATTTGGATATCGTTAAGAGTATCAGATAGGTACTCTTAGATCCTCTATTTAAGTTGCTGTTTCAGCTGAAATTTCATTTTTCTCCGTGCTGAATCTCATGCTTCCATTTTTTTTTTCATGTTAATTTCATATGTTTTGCATGATGTATAGAACAATTTAGTGGGAAATGCACATGTATATGTGGAATCTGCAAGAAGTTGCAGGCCTTGAGTGACGCAAAGGATTGATGAAGAAAAATAACCTGATTAACATAAAGATCATTATTTCTTAAGTAATGTTATATGCAAATAGAAAATAGAAATAGAATAAATTAATGTTTCATCTTTTAATACTCTGAAGTTGGTGTATTTATCCAAAAAATAAATAAAAATAAATAAATACTCTGAAGATGGTGGCAATAATATAATTGCAAGAATGGAAAAGGATACATGCACACATTTTGATAGAACTAATGTAAATATCATTTATTGTTATTACAATGAAAGGTAAGAATGTGAAGTAAATAGCCTAATGACGCGTTATTAAGGGCAAAAATTGGAATGTATATGTAAATATATAGTCATTGATGCTTACACATATAGTTGATTTCATTACGGGACTAGATAATTCTAGTTTAATCAAATGGTGCAACATTGAGAACAAAGGCATTTGAGAGTTCTTCACATTTGGGATAAGAATTTTGATGCAGCCAGAGTGATGTAGTGCCTTTCATTGTGGTTTCTTAGATTTAGTAATTTTCTGGTGAGGTATAAGAAAATTGTCGACTCCATTTAAGTTTGAACCAACCTCTGTTTGAATAATTGTGATTTTTTCTGCACAACGGCCCCCTCCAAAAAAAAAAAAAAAAAAAAAGGATAAAAGAAAAAAAAAAAAAAAAAAGAAAAGAAAAAGAAAGAAAGAAAAAAAAAAGGAAAAAAAAAATCTGTCCACTACTGCACAATGTGTGTGGGTCTGTAGATTTTAATTAAATCTTTTACCTTTTGTTAACCACACTGTCTATCTTAAATGTTGCATCATGGTATTACTGATAAAATTATTTTTCAAATGAGTGATATATGATGATGAAAGCATCTTTTATCCATGCAGAAGCAAATGTGTTCAACTGCTTGTGTTATAAACGCATCTACTGTTTAATTAAGTGGAATTCAGTTACTGCATTTGTTTAGTTGTTAGAAGCAGTAACTTAAAGAAAGAAAACAAAAACAGGATTATCAGGAGTGGGAGCTAAGGTAGCATTTTCTTTCAACCACAAGGTGTATGTAGCTTGCATATGTGTCTTGGATACTGCATATTCCAATTCTGCTATTCATAAATGTCTTGGACTATGTTGACTATGAAATTCCAATTCTATATCTCGTAATTTTCATGGGATCTTCCCTACTAAGTTCTGGTCAATGTTGAGGTAACACTTTGTTTTATTTCGCAGCTGATACTGCAGTGCTGTTTAAATTCTGACTGGCTTCAACATTCTTTCCATTCTTGGGTACAACAATGTCAAAATGCAAATAGTGCTGAGTCTGTTGAAATGCTGAGGGAGGTACATCCCCTGATTTGGCTGCTTATTGATTTACCCACTCTATTAAATTTGATGGAGCATTTGGTCTCTTTCTTTGTTGTCTTTAAATTTCTGCTTTCATTTGATATTCCAAACAACCAACCAGTAGTTATTTTTCAGATTCCAATTTCTGACAATTATGCTTTGCATTTGCATGTTTTGATAAGCCCATGCATGTGTTAGGTAACTGTAGAGTATGCGTAAGACTGCACAACATACATTATAAAATTAAAAAGGAAGTTATTCTTTGATGAAAGCTAATTATTTTATTTTATTTTATTTTTTTATTGAGTACAAGCATTCTCTTTTGCCATGCTCTACTACTGTTCCATTGCTGAAGCATCTCTACTCTATTAAGCGATCTCCTCTGCTGGAGCCGATTTAGAGTGACTGCCACCACCATTGTAACATAATCACATCACCACCTTCACTTCCGTCACTATTGGCATCACTGGCCCATATTTTTTAAATACCAATATACGATTGGTTAAACCTTGGCCATATAATATTCCATTTACATACGTGACATATTATATGACTTTGTGTGTAGTTATTTATTTGATTTTTAACTTGATTTTTACTTACTTCTACCTCTTTTCTTTCCCGTTTTCTAGTAGTTGTTTAAATTCTAGCGATGCCTTATTTTGGTCAGGGTTATCTAATTGTTGATTTTATGAGTGGATGTTGCTTTAGAGATTTCCAATTTTTTTTGTTTTATTTTTATTTTTATTTTTATTTTTATTTTTAAATTGAAGCATTTATTATTTGACTTGACAAAGCTGCCAAGTTGAATCCAACCCAACCTAACCTAAGCTTGGTTTGTATGCCTAGAATGAGTTTGGATATGGCTGTTGCTTGATGTGCAGTGTGTCCAACTCATGGAAGTTTGTATTAGAACACTTGTAACTAGTTTTTGGAAATTACAATGCATCACTTTATTTATGGGACAGTTTTGTTGTTTTGCTGAGTAGCTTGAGTTAGAAATAGGATGAAATGCTACAACTAACCAAGTCGTTATACCTGTAACAAAAAATTGATCCTTATTGTAAAATTTGAGCTGTTTTTTCCATATTGCTGATGCATGTTCCTTTCGGATTCAGGAATTGTTTGATTCTATTATGTGGGATGAAGTCAGCTTACTCTTAGATGTAGCAGTGCAGCCCGAGCTGGTTTCTGAAATGAAGAACTGGAAACATGAAGTTATGAAATGGTTTTCAACATCGCATCCACTACCTAGTGGTGGAGACATGGAGCAGCGGACTAAGGATAGTCCTTTGACTGCGGGACTTCAACTTAGCAGGAAGAGACCTAAGCTTGAAGTTCGTCGTGCTGAGTCACATACCTCCCAGGTTGACACCCATGGTTCACAACAGGCTATATCTGTTGAGATTGATGCCGGATTTTTCGATGGTCGAAGTATTGGAAATACCCATACACTAGAATCCGAGCCTCCTAGTGAGGATTTGGAGGGCACTGCAATTAAAGACTCTGCTGGTAGTTTGGCTGATAGATGGGGTGAGATTGTAGTTGAAGCTGGAAATTCTGAAGTTATTCATACTAAAGATGTGGATATGACACCTGTGAATGGAGGGGTGGATAGGAAATCCTTGGACCCTGGTGTTAAGAATCGGCAGTGCATAGCTTTCATTGAAGCTAAGGGAAGGCAATGTGTACGGTGGGCAAATGATGGTGATGTTTACTGTTGTGTGCATTTGGCGTCTCGTTTCGTTGGCAATGCTGCAAAAGCAGTGGCAACTTCCCCAGTTGATTCACCAATGTGTGAAGGTACCACTACTCTTGGTACTAAATGCAAGCATCGTTCTCTATATGGTTCTACTTTCTGCAAGAAACATAGACCCCATGATGATATGAATATAGCCTCGAGTTTGCCCGATAAGCTTAAGAGAAAGCATGAGGAGATTGTAAACAGATTAGGGATGACAAATTGTAGAGACATTGTATTGGTGGAAGAAGTTGAAACACCCCTCCAAGTGGATCCAATCTCAGTTTTGGGTGGAGAAGCCTCCAATGAAAGGAGGTTAATTGAGATGCCTGGGCATTCCAGGAACGAATATGACAGCACTGAGGTGCTGCACTGCATAGGCTCGTTTCCCTTGGATGGCAGTCATCCTTGTCTGGAAAGTCCAAAGAAGCATTCCCTGTATTGTGAAAAACACTTACCAAGCTGGCTTAAACGTGCAAGGAATGGGAAGAGCAGGATAATTACAAAAGAAGTGTTTATAGATCTTTTGAAGGATTGCCACTCTCGGGAGCAAAAATTGCATTTACATCAAGCGTGTGAGCTGTTCTACAGACTCTTCAAAAGTATCCTATCTCTGAGAAACCCAGTTCCTAAGGAAATCCAACTTCAGTGGGCCATTTCTGAAGCTTCTAAAGATGTTAGTGTTGGGGAATTTTTGATGAAGTTGGTTTGCAGTGAAATAGAGAGACTGAGGAGACTCTGGGGCTTTAATGCTGACCAAGATACACAAGTTTCCTCTTATGTCAAAGAAGCAGTTCTGGTTCCGGTGGCTACTGATAGTGAACATGACATACAAAATACCATCAAGTGCAAAATTTGCTCTGAAAAGCTTTTGAATGACCAAACGCTTGGCACGCACTGGATGGACAATCATAAAAAAGAAGCACAATGGCTGTTTAGAGGTTATGCTTGTGCCATCTGCCTTGATTCTTTTACTAACAAGAAGGTTCTTGAAACACATGTGCAGGATAGGCATCATGTGGAATTTGTTGAACAATGCATGCTTTTCCAGTGTATTCCTTGTAGTGGCCATTTTGGGAATCCTGAGCAGTTATGGTTGCATGTGCTCTCTGTTCATCCTGCTAATTTCAGGCTGTCAGATGTTGCTGAACAGCATAACCTCTCTGCGGGTGAAGATTCTGTGCAGAAACTTGAGCTGGGTAATTCAATATCTGTAGATAATAAGAACTCAGGGAGTCAAGGTGGTTTTCGAAAGTTTGTTTGTAGGTTTTGTGGGTTGAAGTTTGATTTGCTACCTGACCTAGGCCGTCACCATCAAGCTGCTCATATGGGGCCAAATTCTGTTAGCCATCGCCCCTCAAAGAGGGGTATCCGTTTTTATGCTTATAGATTAAAATCAGGGAGACTAACCCGTCCTAGATTTAGAAAAGGTCTAGGATCAGCGTCATATCGTATTAGGAACAGGGGCAGTGCAAGTATGAAGAAACACATCCAGGCATCAAATGCAGTTAGCACTGGGGAAATGAAACTGCAATCTCATGTAACTGAGGCAGGAAGTCTTGGTAGATTGGCAGAATCTCAATGCTCAGTTGTCGCAAATATATTGTTTTCTGAGATTCAGAAAACAAAACCACGCCCAAGTAACCTTGAAATTTTATCTATTGCTCGCTCTGCATGCTGCAAAGTATGCCTCCAAGCCTCATTGGAGGAGAAATATGGACTATTGCCTGAACGTGTGTACCTGAAGGCAGCCAAACTTTGTAGTGAGCATAATATTCTTGTGGAGTGGCATAAAGAGGGTTTTATTTGTCCTAAAGGATGCAAACCAGTGACAAACTCACATCTGGCGTCTTCCTTGATGCCTCTCTCTGAGAATGTAGCAGGACTGAGATCTGCACTTCCAGAAGATCCTATGAACAATGAGTGGGAGATGGATGAGTGCCACTGTGTTATTGATTCCCGGCATTTTAAACGGAGTTCCATGCTGAAAACCTTCATCTTGTGTGATGACATAAGCTTTGGACAGGAATCAGTTCCAATAATCTGTGTAGTGGATGAAAATCTTTTGGATTCCCTTCGCACCGCTCGAGATAGTTCTGATGGACAAATAACTGCATACTCTATGCCTTGGGAGAGCTTTACTTATGTCAGGAAACCATTGCTTGATCCATCCCTTTCTCTTGAAGCAGAGGTATTGTCACACTGCTTATTTGAGTCCCTGTTTAAACCACCTTGATCTAGCTTATTTTAGTTTTGTGCAAATTAGCTTGATTTAGACTAATTAATAATTATATCCATGTTTTACATCTCCCTACCCTATCACCCAACCATTTGAATGTGGGGTTGATTCTCTTGTTAAATAAACCATTTGCACCTAGCTTGAGAGTGTCCTCTCGCCATCTTTCTTTGAGTACACGCCCAAGTAAGATGATATCATTTATTTTTCTGGTCGCATTTTCCTGTCCAGAGTTTGCAGTTGGGGTGTGCTTGCATGCATTCAACATGCTCTACTGCAACCTGTGATCATGTGTACCTTTTTGATAATGACTATGAAGATGCAAAGGATATACATGGCAAGCCCATGCATGGCAGATTCCCGTATGATGAGAAAGGTCGGATAATTTTGGAGGTAATTTAAATTGTTCTCATTGTCTGTTACAAGTAACATCCTTCTTTTTATGATAATTTTGTTTTACAACAACTACCTGTGCTTCCAGATATATAGATGTGCATATAATCAAAATAATATCTGACAGACTGAAACAGATATGCACTTTTAGAAACAGCATATCTTTGTCACCCTGTACTTGTTTAACTTAGTATCAGTTAGAAAAATGCAGTTTTCTCTACCATTGCCAATCCCTGGCTTGTATGACATTATCCATTTCAGGCTCCATACAGCAGAGATTTATAATAACACTGATTCTTGTAATTTTTAATCATCTTGGAATATATTTCTGTTCAAAGCATGTAAAAGAATGTTATTAATATCTTATGTTGGGAGCTTCAATAGTGCTAGATGACACGGAAATAGGGCTGTTCCCCCTGTTTTTTGATGAATACAACTTTCAACTGTTTTATTTTTATTTTTTTATGGGTTAAGCCTGTATCAGTTACTTGAATTATATTACCCTTTATACAGGAGGGTTACTTGGTCTATGAGTGCAATCACACATGCAGCTGCAGTAGATCCTGTCAGAATAGGGTTTTGCAGAATGGTGTACAAGTTAGATTAGAAGTCTTCAAAACTGAGAAAAAGGTAACATTCTTATTTTATTTATGGTGCTTATGAGTCTGAGATCAATGTCATGCCTTGTTGATTTACAGGGTTGGGCAGTCAGGGCAGGAGAAGCAATTCTGCATGGTACATTTGTATGTGAGTACATTGGGGAGGTTATAGATGAGCAGGAAGCAAACAAGAGGCGCAATAGGTTTATGTTTGAAAGACCTTTTGATCTGCAATTTTTGTTGGAGTTTACTCATTTATTATTTATTTCTTATGGATTTTAATTGACTGTTTTGGCTTTTCAGTTATGGAGGAGACGGTTGGGGATATTTCTATGACATTGATGCACACATTAATGACATGAGCAGATTGATTGAAGGGCAGGTCCCATATGTGATTGACGTCATGAATTATGGAAATGTTTCACGGTATATCAACCACAGGTGAGGGAGTACTTGGTGTTACATGGAAATGTTTTGCAGTATGTCAACCACTTGTGAGGGAGTACTTAGTGTTACTATCTAAGGTACTGTGGTTCAGAAAATTCTGTGGATGATTGATGGTGAGGTGTCCTGGTGGGACCTTTTGGGAAGATAATGAGCTCTAAGATGACGGGAGAGCAGCAGAGGTGGTGGCGGTGAGAACTTGGGTGATATTAGTGAGAGAGAGGATGGTAGTGGAGAGAACTGGCACTCGCTGGAGGTGAAGGAGATGTCTGAGCAGTGTTTTAAAAAGCTCTAGGCGCATTGAGGCGCTAAGGTCTCCTGGAGCTTAAGCGTGAGGCGCAAGGCGAAGTGCGCGCCTCATTGAAGTGAGGCGCAAGTTGTTGAAGATAACCAAAATATTAATATAGGCGAAGTTTTTAACATAAAACAAATATTCTTAGAATTTAAAAAGAAAAAAGAAAAAAAAAGAACGACATTCAATATTTCAAAAATCATGAAAAATAACATTTAACGTTTCAAAATTTTCTCAAAAATAACATTCGATCTTACTTTGCCCTTATACTATTTATCGTTCTTTATCAATTTATTAATGTGATTCATTTCTTTTTTTAGATAAGGAACTCACACCATATAATATCTTAGTGGTTTTAATTTTAAATCAGGACCAAATTGCCCAATAGCTTCAATCAGTGGCCCGAAACTATTGTAATTTACTACATTGAAAGGAATCCCAAAAACCATATATCCATCTTGCAATCCCAGAGATTTTGCTTAATGCCTAGAGCTTTTTTTGATATGAAAATTGTAATTCAAAGCATGTGTTTACATTTTATAGTAAAGGGGTTGTAATTCCATATGTTACACACACAAAGAATAAGGATGGAGCAAAAATTTAAATGAAGCGCATGAGGCATGCGCCTAAGCCTAAGGCACGCGCCTCAAGCGCGCCTTTCCTATTGCCCCTCGCCTCAAGCTGTCTAAGGCGCCTCAAGTGCGCCTTGCGCCTAAGCACGCGCTTAGCGGCGCCTTTTAAAACACTGGTCTGAGGACTGATGATGATGATTCACGCATGCTTGGAGGCCTCCTCATATATGTGGTCGAATCATGGAGGCCAGTTCACCTCCGGATAGGTGGCTTACCCTCCTTGGTTTGACAAGATGGAGGTATCTCAACTACTTACAAGTTCTAAGACCTTGGGGTTTGTATCATGGGAGTTGTGGAGGCTCATTTATCAACCAAAAAAAAAAAATCGTGGGAGTTGTGGAGGTAGCTACAGTACGTTCTCCGAGATATCATGTCTTGGTCAAAGCCTTTCTCTTTCTATAAGACTGGTCAAGGTGGGGATTCCTCGATTCAAGCCATATAGCTCTATTGGTCCCGAGTAAATGGGTTCCTAGTTTCTTCTCCCAACCTAGGTGACTCTAATAATAGTGTTGGAAGTGCCTTGAATCATGTAGGTGAAGTTGTTGGAGAAATGGCGAACAAGGCGCATAGGAATCATGGCCTGGTGAGGAGTCCCTTGGCCGAGACAAGGCGCATCGAGCCATGTTGCCATTGAGCGGGATTCGCTGAGCGGAGATGCCTCGGTCCAACCAAGTGATACCCTGGGCCATGCCTCAGAGTACTGTATGCTTTGATGCGTTTTGTGGCGCCATGCCTCATTCCTAAGGTGTCAAGCACGTTAGCTGGCCAGGCTACTATGGTGGTTCATCTGCCCCTCTTAGGCGCTCATGACTCCAATGGTTTGTCTGGGAGATGATGTGGCACTGGGCTGGTTGCCACATGGCGTGGCTATTTAGATACCCCAACTTCTTTAGTTGCTTGGCTGCGTATTCATACACTTTCACGAGTCATATAGGATCACCTGCCACCTAGAATTTAAAAATAGGAGAAGTTAAGGCAGCATTTGGTTGAGCCTATCAAATGTTTTCAGAAGCTATAAAAGCAATAATTTTAAAAGGCAGTGTCCTAAAGATGTAAGCACAACTGTTTCTTCCCACATGAGCTGCCAGTTATCTTTTGATCTATTATGAACAAATAGAGGGTACAACTTGGCTATGAACCTTCAAAGAGTTACTTGCAAATTAAGACTGTTTCTTATTCAAATTTGTCTCATCTTTTTTTATTTATAACAAAAAAATTGGAGTGTGTGAGATGAATACGCAGTATAATGAAAGTGAAATACATTGGCTTTGTTAATGCGTCTTAAATTTGACTGTCTCTTCAAAAATTGATGCGTAGTTGAGGTGGTGTTCATACTTCCTAACGCTATGTTTGGTTTGGGGATTTGGAAAGGAAAAGGGAAAGGGAAAGGAAAAGGGAAAACATAAGTAAAATGTGAATAAAATATACCTACATTTCACCTAGTTTCACACCTTTTCCCTTTCCCCTTCCCTTTCCAAATTCATTCCCAAATCCTCTAACCAAACATAGCGTTAAAGGGCTCAAAGTATTCTTCATTGTAATTAGATGATATTTTTAATTGATTCTTTTGTGAAATTTGAGGTAGTTGAATGCGGACCCATTCAAGAACGTGATTTTAAAAAAATGTTCAAAGATTGGCATTTCTTATTATTATTCAACATGTGTAGTTTTTTTATTTTGGTAATTATTTTGTTTCACAGTTTCCTCAGAATGCAGAGAGATGGTAGTGATAAAGATTTATGTTGGGTTTGAGGCTCTATTGAAGTTAATTTGAATGCCTATTGACTTTTGTTTTCCATTGTAATGTAGCTGCTCACCGAATCTTGTGAATCACCAAGTTCTTGTGGAAAGCATGGATAGTCAGCTTGCGCACATTGGTCTCTATGCAAGTCGAGATGTAAGTGTTATCCCCCTTTCCTAACTTATTGACCATCCGTAGGTTATAAACATAGGAAGATGGGAGGTTCAATTATGTGGTCCATCATGCTTCCCTAGATGAGTACCCCTGTTGTGGGAGTTGGAAATGTTTCTCATGATAAACTGCTGGGTAAAACAACTCAACAAAATGAAAGAAAGTAAAAGAAAAAAAATAGATCACCTGTATAGGACCATCTAATGGATGGTCCTGACATCTTACCTGGTCTACTAAAAAAGTTTATGCCATTTTTTTTTATGATATTGACACTACCATTGAATCTGTTGTCATTTAGTAGTTTGCATCTAATGTTGACTGCTTTATGGGGGAAAAAAATAATAAATAAATAAATAAAATTATGTGAGCAGATAGATGCGGGTGAAGAACTAACATATGATTACCGATACAAGCTATTGCTTGGAGAAGGATGTCCGTGCCACTGTGGAGCTCCCAATTGCAGGGGCCGGCTTCATTGAATCTTTAATGAATTTTATGTCCTGGTGGTCTTTCAAAAATAAATAGACGATGGCAATGGGAGATTCCGAGATGAGACTAAAAAGGTCTGAAAGGAACAATGTGATGTCTCATATCTCTTGCTCTTCAAGTAGTACAATTTGTGATGAGGCAGCATGGTTCATAAGCGGTAACACCTCTTAGGCTTCAGACATGCTGTAAGTGTGTCTTTTCTTTTGATTAGAGTGTGCCCGTGTTCTTTAGTTTGTACATCATACTTCCAAGAGAACAAATTTAAGCCTTTTCGTTAATTTTATACTTGTTGGAGTTGAATCTGATCGAGTTTTCTGAAATTGTAGATGGGTCTATGCCACATATTTCTTAGGTAGTATTGTAATGGAGGTTTTAAATTTCCAATGTTCAAGATAGTCTTAATTTATAGCGCTAGAAGCTTTTTTCACCCATTATTTTTGGTTCTACCATTTATCAGCAACCATTATGATGCTTGATTCCCTCGTGTTATTGGGATACTTGTGTATTGTTTGAGAATTTTAATTTAATTTTTGATTTCTATTGATCGCAAATTCTCTAAGTGAGGTGTTTCCATTTTTATTCCATCTGGGGTGCTTATTGGACATATTGCTTAGGTTTTAAGGTTATGCTACGTTTTGAATTTTGGTTTGGAGCCGTTGGATATACTCTTTGCCAGCAACCAACATGGGATTCCTCAATTCCAATTATTTATCGCCATGCCATTTTTTTGACTTGTAAGGAGAAAGTAGCCAAGAGATCGTAATTCTAACTATGGGTGAAGACATGATTGAACCAACATGGCAAAATATGCTTAATTAGCAGCTTGTATTGATATTATCATTCATGGAATCAAATGCACACGACCTAACACATGAGGAGATCCAAAGATGCTTATGCCATGGTGGTGGACCAAATATTACAGCATAACCCATCACCTTTTCTCTCTCTCTCCCTCTCTCTCTATTGAGTATGGTGCTGTTTTATTTGGGTAGTAGCATTAAGATTGATGATGAAAACGTGTATTTCTTTTTGATGATTGAGCATCATATCTTAGCTGCACTGGCTGCATTATTGCACTTACACAGCAACCCACGGTCCCCATTACTTTAAATAATGTGCCAAGAAAAAGCAAAGCTAAAGTCAAAAGAAATCCTACACTTAATGGATTTCCACTACACTTTTTTTTTTTAGCCCTTTTAAATTTTAGGAGAGTTTGACAAATATTGGGATCCATGTAAGGCCTAGTTTGGGAAAACTAAATAAGTATATTTTTTGACTTTTTATGAAATATGGGTTGAGTTTGGGTTGGGTTTGAAGTGATGTGTTAGAGAGGTGATATGACTTAAATAAGATGATGTGACTTAAATAGGATAGTGACTTTTTATCTTTTTTCAATCATGCCAAACTTATCGTTTAATTGCCATGAAAAAAGTTTAAATGATAAGTTATATATTTTAATATTATTTCTACTAAGAAGTGTGATGACATATTTAAGTTTTTTCTATAATCTCTATCAATTGAATAAAAAATATATAAAATAAAATTTTGAGGTTAACATCTTTTTTTTCCCTTCATTTAAGGTTATATTTTCGTTTCCCCACACCCCACAATGAGGGTGCCCTAGCAATTTAAATAGTATCTCCTATTCAGAGTCAATCTTGTAACCAAAAATAAATAAATAAATAATAGGATTTAGTTTTTTTTTTTAATAAAAAAATTGGATAAATGAACTTGGATTAAAATTAAATATTTTTATAAATTATTTCATTAATTAGAGATTAGTTTCATGAAATATAACTTGTGAACAAAAAAATAAATAAAAAATACTTGAATGTTTCTATACATTTTGTATTTTTGTAATTTTTTTTTTTTGATATGACATATTAACATAATACAATTACAGATTCAAAAAAACTAATTCACTACCTTTAAATTACTTAGGACTAAACATATCCGTGTTCTGATTAGGAATGACAAAAACACTCCGATACAACATGTTTTGATCCTAAAAGAACGAATTTGGAAGGTTTCTCAATAGAGTCATGGTCAAGTTTTGCGGTGAACAAAAAAAATAAAAATAAAAATAAAATAATAATAATAATAATAATAATAATAATAATAATAATTATTGGATTTAGGTGAGGTTTGGAAAGGATAATCACTTCAATCCTAATTTGATTATATGTAATATTAAGATTTAATGCCTTATCAAATATTATAATCAACTTGAATTTGGACCACTATTCGAAATCTTAGTGATGGGTCGTTTTACACATAAAAAATAAACACCAAGCTATACTAAATTCTTTTTGAATAATAGCAAATACAGGTATCGATCCACAGGGACAAACGAGAAATTAAACTAATTTAATTGTTAAATTCCTAAATTAATTTTGATAAAAAGATTTATTGTTTATAACCTAATAATAATTAAATTAAACAAAGCAAATAAACTAGCAATTATAAATAAAGATGAATTTACTGATTTGGGGAAAAACCTAGGGTAATGAATTCACCACTAGTTGCACAAACAAAGCTTCAATTTGAGACTCAATTATATTACGGTTCGAATAGAATAATATTTCGCAATTACAAGTTCAAAGCATTTATTAAGAAAATCATCACGTTCAATGCATGGGCACGAACCATCTCAAGTAGTACAAATCATTCGCTCTAAATTAGGGTAGTGACACGACTCGTCCCTCGTAATATGGTTCATCTCATATCTTGAATATAAAATAATAGAAAACTATTGTATGAAAAATATTCAACAATCACAGAAAGCTGAATACTTGAAGAAATAGTAGAAATATATATATATATATATATATATATATATATGTGTGTGTGTGTGGGTGAAAATCTGACCACACTGCCCGTCTAGTGATCAGCTGGAGAGCACAAGCAGAATAGATGGCTTAAGCAACCTGAAACAGAAAGAAAAAGCTCCGGCGGTGGTTCTTCCACCCGGGGACACTCCGACGATCAAGTCAGTATATCTCTCAAAGATAATCAAGTACTAAACTGAATACTCAAAGTATAAATTACATACCTTAGACCCACGGGGGTGCCTCTCTTTTATAATATACTCAATCCAAGTCCCACTAGAAGTATGACTTCTATGAACTCCAATTTACTGTTTACTCTGGACTCTTCAAGAGATAAAGATAAAACTCCCTAAGAGCTTTATCCTTATCTTGGTTAAGTCCCCTCTTTGCCTTAGGACTCTTGTCCCTTATCTGCTTATCTCGGATTCCGATATCTTCGGGGATAACCTCGGCAACTCCGAGATCATCTCGGCTTAACTACCAGGACACGTGGCACCTCGGCTGACACGTCGGCGTCACCATGCCACGTGTTGGTATTTCATGTTGCATGATAGATAACATGCTTAGGTTGCATTGCATCAACATGCATTCCTTGTCCCTTGATTTGGGTGATAGGGATTGGGAGTTTGTTTGATTGATTTGCATTACATTTGAAATCAAAGTTGCATACTTGGTTCTTTGGGCCATCATGCATTGAAATGCGTGATTGGTGGTCCGAGAATCGAGACACATGCCTTTTGAGTCACAAACATGATAGGGGACATGATTGGTGCATACATTGTTTGAATTGTATTGCCATGCAAGTTCTGTCCTCTGCTGCTGTGAGTTGCAGGTTCTGCAGGAATACTCTGCATCCCCACCCTTCACCGGCAGTGGCTAGATGCCACCGGCTGGTTTTTGCTGCCACCGGCAATATAGTTTGCCGGCCGGCACTCTTTGTTGCCGGTCCGCACTATTTTGTGCCGGTCGGCACTTTGTTTGGCCAAGATGGCATTTTTTGCCGGCCGATTGCTGTTCATCTGCTTTTGCAGATATTTGAAGACAGCTGTCTTGCTTTTTGCTCCCCTCCATACACGTGTATGGAGGGATCTCCCTCTTGCAAAGCTTGT